AAAAGGAGGATATTCTCAGGCTTATTAACGTCTTTCTGATAATTTGCCTTTCTGCCTATTGCAATCTTATGTTGGTTTTAAGTTGTTTGATTGATTCTGTAGGGGTGGTGGATTTATATCACTGGAGAACTTGTTATATTTTGCGAGGAATTTCCCGGTATGTCCTCTTTCCTCACTCTTTTTATGGAGAATGATATGTCAAACCTTCTAAGCATATGTATGCATACTGGTAAGAATGAGAACATTACTAGGAAAAGATAACTTTTAGTGTCAAAATTGGCTGTTATTTTGTGCGATGGGAGACCTGACAGTTCTAGGTTCTTTTTTTCTAAGCAGGTATTGGGAATTTGCATCCTGAGATTGTAGCTATTCAAACTGTTATGTTACGCCTGAATTACTTCACTACGTCTGCCACACGCCTTTTCCTTCCCCTATGCATTGAAACATATGGTTTTTTAATTGCTTGCTCAACCCAGAAATTGTGGTAGCTGTTGGGGGGTGGGGGTGGGGATGGGTTATGGTAGGTGCATACTTAATGATGTGATGATTATCTCTGGATTTCTATATGATATTCTACACAATCTAAGTAGGCACCTAGTCATCATCTCTCGGTGATAGCAGCATATAAAAAACTGCTGGAAAAGTATTTCTGGCATTAATTATTTAGTGTTTAAGGGTGAAATGTACTTTAATGGAATAAATCAGGCACAATTCTTTAGAACTTGGATGACCAAGAAGGAAAAAAGGTTTATAACTTGGTTGACCAAGAATGAAAAAACAAAAAAGGGCTTTATTGTCATCTAGTATCTCTTTGTTTCTTGTAAAATTGGATAAATGTTTGTTAATCAGACTATGAAATCGCTAATCTTCATGCGCGTCAAGGGAGGGATAGTCTTGTGAAGGGCCCTATCCTCCAACCATAAGGTTGGGGTTTCAAATCACCAAGGGAGCGAAGGGGGAAAAGCTGTTGTTCTCCTTGTTGTTGTTTTTTTGGTGTTTGTGTGGGTGGGTGGGTGGGGTTC